GGGGGCAGTTAGGGGCAGGGGTCCCAGGAGGGGGTAGTCAGGGGACAAGGAACGGGGGGGAGGGTTGGGAGGTCAGGGGGGGGCGGGAAGTGGGAGGGGCTAGGGCGGGGCTCCTCCTGTCCTCTTTTTTGCTCGCTGAAATATGGTAACCCTAATTAACGTCATTCACATGGCGCTAACCTGTGCCTACTCTGCAGAGTGTTAGCTGCTGATGAGTTGTTCTCACTCAAGCATTAGTCTATATGTCAACTTGAGTCAAAATCATCACCATACTCTAGCTAAGGGGTTTGTGTGTGTAAAGGATTTGAGCTAGTGGAAACACTCAAGTTAACACCCATGTAAGGATAAGCCCTGTTTGACCTTGGGTTCACTTAATCGCTCTGTGCCTTAGTTTCTACATCTGTAATATAGGGATATTACTTCCTTTCCCCAATGATTTGTCTCTCCTGTCCATTTAAATTTTAAGTTCTTCAAGGATCTCTTCCACATTCCTTTTAAATCAATGGGAGAATTTCCATTGACTTCAATAGACTTTAGAGAAGGCCCCTAGGCAGTAACTCTTACTAAATGATTATATAATGCTTAGCACAATGAGGTCTACTTCTTGATTGGGAGCCTGGAGGTGCTACCTACTGTAATGCATATAATAGATCCTTCTCATCAGAGGTATAGAAGGTCATTACCTTTTCTGCTTTTGGCCAGACAGTTAATTCCCCTGTGTTCATGGAACTGGAATTGCAGTTTTCAGTGTCTTAGCACATCTCCATTCAGCAGGCTACAAAAGAAGATATGATACACTTTTGTATGGTTACTGTAATAGCAATGGGACTGAACAGCCGTGTATCGGTACAATTGAAAAGCTACAGCAGGGAATTTCAGTATAGTAGCAAGAACTGCATAAGTGAAATTGAGTTTACTGCATATCTAGTTGACTTCTGGATGCTGAAGAAGTCACTGTTGTGACCTCCTGCATAGTATGTTCGGCTAATAAGAACACTTTGTCTACCAAACTGGTTCTGAAAGGAGTATAAATGCAAGACTAGCAAGTTTACCCTCTGAATGACATCTACATTGTCAGATACTATGTACTCATTACAACTGTAGGGGAAAGTATAGATCCAAGTCAAGTACTTGGTGCATGTTATTCTTATAATAGGATTCACACACAGCTAGTGGCCACTTATTAATCTGCTGACA